TGTCATTATATATTGTAAAATACATGTACATATAATGTTTAGTGACTTATAACCAAATATAGTTTTAAAGTGACTATCTGTGTTAAGGTGCAAGGGGGTCAGATAACATAAGATTACTATTCTTTCTTCTCTTTTTCATTTATGTCTTATATGTTTAACTTGATGACACTCTTGAGGTCTTATATTTTATGAATGAAATAAAATTTTATTAAATAAAAACACTGTAATTTATATCATCACATACAAGGTTATTAAATATTTGCTGGTCATATTTTCATAACATAAAGTCTCCATCAGTCATCATTCTCATTAAAAAAAAAAGATAGTATTTATTAAGTTGTTTTATAATAATAATAATGCTTTGGATTTATACAGTGTCTTTTAAGAACCCCAGAGTGTTGTTCATTATTCATTGACTCCATACTCGATGGTGGTAAACTACCATTGTAGTCACAGCTGCCCTGGGGCTGCCAAGCTGACCACCATTAACATTCATGAACGCACCACTTTCTTACTATGCAATGTGGGTGAAGTGTCTTGCCTAAGGCCACAGTAACAGAACTTGGCCCGAGCAGGAATTGATCCTCGGACCTTTAGGTTGGGGACCACAGTTCTAACCATTCTCACTTTCAATATAGTATAAAAATATTACCATTTAATACCATTTAAAGAAATTACATAAATAAAAAAAGTTATCTCCTTTTGTCCACTAGGGGGCAGATTTTACTCATGAAAAATGCTAAAAGACCATTACAAGAATCTATATATACAGTAAGTATAACCAATAGTCTCTTTTTTCCCTTAAAATTAGGTCAGAGCAAAAATGTGCAACAACACTGAATGATGGGTAATATGTAGGGCAAGGTCAGATGACTATGGCAGCTCTCAGCATCAGTACATATGCCTGCTCTCCTTGTACTTTGTTTATATGTGAGTCTGTCCTATATAGCGTTTGTGTTAAAGAACTGCTGTCAAGGTTAAACAGAACAAAAAAAAATACATACTCTACCAGACACTGAACTTAGCTGACTGAATAAGACCAAAACTATCCTTCAACATTTAACTTCAATGCAAGGGTTACTCATCTTTTCAGGCTATGATAATAAAAAAAATAAATTAATACATAAAAAAAAATACATGCAACATACTCATGACCCTCAAATGGTGTTGTGTTATTGGACTGAATTTCACAAAAATAAAGTTTTAGACTAAAATACTGAGAATAATAATAATAACTTTAAAACCGTGAAATTATCTCATAGCCCTGCACATTATTGGGAACCACTGCCTTATTAGACATTGGTATCATGGTATGAAAAGCAGATCCGTTCAGTGTTCAGACATTTGTGAATGTGATGCATGTATGTAAGAAAATAACAACCCTATGTGTGACTTTCACTGGTGGATTTAAAATGAATCATATTAATGTTTTCATTGACTTGGCTGAACATTGTTAATTTTACCAGGGCAAGGGACATTTACTTTAAGTACTACCTCATAAAATATATAGCTTTCCAATACACCAAGACTGAAACATTTGAATATCGACAAAATATTATCTAAATGTGTAAACCAGGTTGAATCTAACAAGAAAAACAAAACATGAACAGGAACACAGGAACACTGCACTATCCACAGGTTTCAGAATGATGAAAAATATGAGCCTGTTGGGATAACAATTAACATTATTATTATTGTATATATCTGAATGAGAAACAGTGTTCAAAATGGTGCCTATAGGTTACCAGGAAGTTGAAACCCATGAATAAAGCTGACAGTTGACTGGAGCCTGCAAACTAGAGCCTTGGGTGGGGTAGACTCTCAGCATGTGGGCCACTTAACTGAAGGACTGACACAGAGACATGTACTGACAAACAACCATTCACTGTCTCATTCATTCACCTCAGCCTTTTCAGACATTTATCTTTATCTATCTATCATTTATCTATTATCTATTGCCTTGCTTAGAATGTTCTACAGCATGGCATTAAACATATACTGTATATTCTCATGGAGACAATCAGGTTGCACTACTAGGTCAAGTTATATCAGATCAGATCTCACAGTAAGAATGCATATTTTTGAAGGGTTTAAGAATAAAAATACCTAATTAAATAGATAAGTTTAATACCAAACTGTGGAGCAGTCTAGGCCACAGTTGTGCAAAACAGATGGAAATTCATATTACAAATCCACTTTATTTGGCTGTTTGGCTTCCATTATGGTTCATTATTGTTTCCGGCATGGGGCTGATGATAATGAGATAATGTTTCTGTTAATTACACTGACTGGTTATATAAATTGTATGAATACAGCAAGACGCTTTGTGGTATATTTGGCATTTTTGTAATCAAGTTAGAATTGTTTAAATGAATACAATACAGTACCTATTTATTATGTTTTCCAGGTCTCCTATTCAGTGTTTTTGGCCTGAAATCTAAAATGGGGGTTAAACCTAAGACAAGGGAGCCGCAAGCATTTAGAAAGTTTTCCTTGAGAGGCAACAGGGATTAAAACAGGGGCACAGACTGTTCTTTTACAGGCCTTAATCTTTGTAATTCAGATGTGAGGCAGAGCCAAATCTAAAGTTGGTTTAGGTTTAGTTCTATTTGTATCTGCTTTCTATTAGAGCTAAATCAAAGGTCAGACAGTAAGTACGCTCTGCATATACTGTACAGTGGGTCAGCTCTGGACAAGATAATGGGATCACCAGATTAGGGACTTGAACTTCACCTTATCAATGGGCACTTTCATTCAGACTTCAGGCAGGCAATCGACACTGTTTTAGTCATTTTAAAGGTTCTATATTACGCAAAATTGACTCTTGTGAGCTTTATGCCATGTTATAATGTTGTTACCTCATCAAAAGCATACATGAAATTGTGTTTTGTGTTGTGTTTTGTGTTCATTCACATGTTTGAGTAACCCTTTGTTATTAGTCTGTCTGCATCTCCAAACCTCAAAATGCTCTGTTCCACATTGTGAATTTTTAAATAGCTACTTTTTACATTTTTTCCTATTGATTCTGGAGAAGGTGTATAGAGAAATATGCAGGATTTGTGTGTTAAAATATGTGTGAACGAAACAAAAGAAAATTCTGGGTATGTTTTTGATGAGGAATTAACATCATAAGATAAGAAAATTGCATAATACAGGGCCTTTAATAAAGAAAATCAATACATGTGAGGAGAATAGAACTCTGCTGCCCGCCTCCTCACGATTCTCCTCCCATGAACATATCAACCTTGTCCTCAGAGATCTCCACTCCCTTCTAGTTCATCCAATTCAAGCTCATCACCATTGTGTACAAGTCCCTCCTTAACCTGGACTCCACCTCCCTCTCTGAGCTCCTCCACCATCACACCCCCACTGTCCTCCAGTCAGCTGATGCCAACCTCCTGTCTCTTCCCACCAGGGAGGCCCCTAGGTGGATCGGGCCTTCTCCGCTGCTGCCCCCACCCCCTGGAACTCCCTGTTCAAACACATCAGAAACTCATCTACACTATCTTCAGAAAAGTCCTGAACACTCACCTATTCAAAACTGCCTTTAAATAATTGCATCTCCTGTTTATGTGTTTCTTTCATTTATGTTTGGGTCTGGTCTGTTGTCTTGATCTATGTGAAGTGTCTTTGAGTGTCATGAAAAATGCTATAAAAGCGAAAATGGAGTTGATACGTTATGGCTTAAGTCTTTCAATTACTGTAGTTTGGTATCAGGTGAAGTTAGATCTATACAACTTATTACTTGTAAGTATGTGCACCAAATAAAGACAACAGGGTCTGGTTCCTATCCAAATGGTAATGACCAGTGAGTTTGGCTATCATGTTTCACATATTGTCTCTTATTTGTGAGGCTATTGTTATAGGCTTCTTTGTTATAGGTTACCTATGTGTACAGTGTGTGGCAGGATATTGCCTTTGTCACTGATGCTTAGTAGTATTAACAAATCATGTATTAATTGCAAAGTAATATAATAAAGTTATATCCTATATAAACTACTTTTAACTAAAATCTGCCAAGGGTACATATTGCCATACTGCACTATTTTCTCATCTATGTTATGTTTTACTACACAAACCCTGCATATTTAGGCTGAGTTCTTCTCTGAAAATCTGTTCCACCTTGTGATGTCATGTGATATTACATGAAGTGCTGCACTGTGTTTTAAACTTCATGCACCTTCACTAGAATAATTTAGATAATTTCAGCTTTGGAACTGTCAGCCTCCTCTTAACAAAAGGTAAAAAGTAGCTGTTTAACTTGAAGACTACCGCTTCATGACATCACAAGGTGGAATAGCTTTAGAGATAATAATAAAGTATTACTCAAACATGTGTGAATTGAACAAAAATACAACTCCAGGTATGTTTTTAAGCGGTAATAACACTAACATAGTTTAACGCTTACAATAATCAAATCGCACAAAATGCAGTGCATAAAATATATATAGAACCTTTAACGTTACGGGGCATTTGGCACATTAGCCTGCATAAATCCAGCAAGGGACCGGCATCTCTAGGTCAGAAAATGAGGCATGTGTGGTCAAAGCGCGGACATGTCTATGGAGGACAACAGGGACAGAAATAGTACCACTATACCTGAGTGGGTTGCTTAGGCTATGATTGGCAGCGGCGCTAAAAACACCGCCTCCGCTGATTGGCTCATTGATTAGGCCTCTGATTGGCTGCCCACGCCGCCAGTAACTCACTGCACTTGCTGGTTTGTTTAAACTGAAGGCTTACGCAGCACCACTAATCTGCGTTTAGACCTGTGATCACCGGATTTTGTCGCATCGTCTCTTTTCGTTGTTGTCCGTGGAGCTTCTGCTATTTGGGCCATTCTAACTTCGCTGATCTGATTCTAGCTGTCAAGGCGCGGAGCATAGCGTGCAATCAATGGAGCCTACATCGTGACCAGCTTCCTCCAACGCCTCTCACTCTTATCAGTCGGTTACCAGCGGGCACCAGCAGCCTCCACACGCGGACCTAACTGCGCCAACATGGGCACCGTTTTGTCCATATCCCCGGCCTCCAAGAAGGCATCGATCATAGACGTGGAATCAGGGGACGCTCACAAAAACGACAAGAGCCTAAAGAAGCACTCTATGTTCGTTTCTTTATCGTGGAAAAAGCTCGTGGCCAACCCGGCGAAGAAGAGCGCCAAGAAAGTGACGCCGAACCCCATCGTGCCATCCAACCAGGTGGCGCATCTCAACAGCGAAAATGCTAGAAAAACACACCAAACTGAAGAAAAGAAACCAAAAGCCCCTATCCCCGTGCCAGTACCCACCGTCCCCGTAAACAGTGAGCAAAATGGAAGACTTGGCTGCGTACAGAAGCAACCCAGTACTTTGTCTTTGCTGTCACCAAGACGCATTGTTATCCAGGCGTCCACCGGGGAGCTTCTACGATGCTTAGCGGACTTCATATGTCGCAGATGTTATAAACTGAAGGAGTTGAACACAGGGGAGGTGATCATGTGGTTTCGGAACATAGACCGGACACTGTTACTTCAAGGCTGGCAAGATCAGGGCTTTATTACGCCAGCTAACGTAGTCTTCGTGTATCTACTGTGCGAAGATACCATTGAGGACAGCGTGGACAGCCCGGTGGTCCTACAGGGCACGTTTCAGACTTGCCTCTACCTTGCGTACTCCTACATGGGCAACGAGATCTCCTACCCCCTCAAGCCGTTCATGAGCGAGGCCAACAAGGACGTTTTCTGGGAGACGTCGCTGCGCATAATCAACAGGATGAGTGCCAAAATGCTGCAGCTCAACGCGGACCCGCATTTTTTCACCGAGGTTTTCCAAGAGCTGAAAAACCAACGTGAAACGAACGAGGCCAGCTTGGATCGCTGAGTGAAACGGACACAGACTGCGTTTCTCATCGTTTATCATAAGCCTATAAGATGTTTTAAAATCGCACAAGTGGTTTTTTGAGTGGTGAAGGGCGTGTGGGGGCTAGAAATCGAACATATTGATGCTTATACGGACATACGCACATTACGCATGCTACTGTATCGAAATGGCGCAGGGATCCAACCTTACAAATGCAGCTTCTTTCTACAGAAATCCCAATTTTATTCAAGATTAGCCTACTTCTACTATAGCCTCGTTAGGGGTAATCAGAACAGACTGTGTACAGAGGAGAGGGAGGAGCTGTCCGCGGTGCTGACCTGTGCAGTCCCCGCGCGCTATAAAGAGTCACTTTTCCACGCAGCGGTGAAGCGTGGCTCAGAGCTGGCCCATTCCACTGTCCTAAGCCTAAGCCTTGTAAGTAGAGCTAAAAGAGAGCCTCTAAAAATACGGTCTAAAATCTAAACCTGGGTCGTGTCCCAATTGTTTTCATGTGGCGTTAAAGAAATCACGACGTTTGGGTGAAAACGCGTGGGGTATTTGCATATGTGGACAGTTAACGTCATAAGCGTAGGTGTTTAAAGATAATGGACTGGTAATAATGGACGCTCTAGCCTAGATTATAGTTCGTGTTACTGTGGAGGCTTTAATTTGGGTCAAACGTCACTTGTAAAGAGGCCAGTTTTGGAATAAGCCTACTGTTTCTATCTACGTATAAGGATCAAGGCCTACTGTTTTTGAGAAGTACAAGTTTGCAGTTATGTTTAAATACAGAAAGTGATGCTGAAATTTGATATCTCCTCAATTGGATGACAAAACCAAGAATGAATGGCAATAAATTGAACTAAACTACCTAGTAATCCTATAGAAATGTATACTTAATGAATGTAAAAAGTTCCCAAAATCCTAGTTCTAGTTTACTGCAGTTTAGTGAGTCATAACCTACCGTTCATGCTCAATTGTAGTACTAACGAATCAATTTTAACGTGAATTCAAATGCAAATACAAATGACATTTTCTGTTAAATTTGAGACTTGGTTGGTTGGATTTAGTTGATGACATTGCGTATTCACACGACTGCATGGCTACCATCAAGGAATGTTGATCTGCAAAAAAGTTGTTAATATCTTCAAGACATTTTACTACTTATGAATTTATGCCTATTCAGAATGACACCGAAACGTTGCAATGTTGGTGAAAATAGGTAGAAATAGATGCAAAAATGTGTGGTTTGCAGCAGGGATGTGAATGAGGCTACTAAGAATGTACAATTTGTAATATATGCTAAATGTGCCAACTGTTGTATATGGCCTGACTTGCTATATGGTTTACATGTACATAATTACATTTTGAACTATTTATTTGCCTGTATTTTTTCAAAGTGGTTGTATATGTTCATTCAAGCAACAACAACAAAAAGATAGCTCGGTTCTATATATAATTATTGTTTCGTGAATCAGCTCTCTTCATTTTTTTCAGGGACAAGGCGAGGGATGTTCAAAGTTTATCATTTGCACATGCGTGACATTTGATTGCAAATTTTATAAGCTAAAAGTGGAAACCGAAAGAAGAATGTATTGTCAGTATCACGGAGTTTCATTGTAACGTGCTGTGGACTTTGAAATGCTGCTACTTTTTGCACAGCTATGAACAAATTGTCAATGTTTTGCACAGTTGAATGACAAAAATGGTCACATCACAGTGCTGTTTTGAGGCATTGATTGGTTTCGCCATTAAGCTATATTGTCATTGCTATAGTAACAAAAGATGTGAATTATTAGACCTTTTGTACAGCTATTTTTTCTATGTCAAACTCCAAAAGTGATATGTAGATGTGTAAAGTTTAAACTGTGTTGTCAAAAATAGGATTCATTTTGCTCAACGGTTCACCACAGTTCACTCTGTTAGTGTTAAAGGTCATTGTTTCTGGTCCTTGCAACCAAATAAACCTGGAATATAAGAAATGTATGTGTCTTATGTAGTATTTGAAATCATATACAGTTTACTGTTGATTTTGAAAGTTACCTGTTTGGATATCCTTTATCTGAGTAACTAAAGGTTTTCAGTACTACTTTAAAGACTATAGAAAAACAGTGCTGTGGAAGTAGTAGCAGTAGTAGTAGTAGTAGTAGTAGTAGTAGTAGTAGCAGTAGCAGTAGCAGTAGTAGCAGACCAAATAATTTCCCTTGCAGATCAATAAAGTCTGTCTAAGTCTAGTAGTAGTAGTGGTGGTAGTATCAGTAGTAGTAGTAGTAGTAGATGTAGTATTAGAAGTAGTAGTAGTAGTAGTAGTAGTAGTAGTAGTAGTAGTAGTAGTAGTAGCAGTAGCAGTAGCAGTAGCAGTAGTAGGAGTCCAAATAATTTCCCTTGTCGATCAGTAAAGTTTGTCTAAGTCTAGAAGTAGTAGTAGGAGTAGTAGTAGTAGTTGTGGTAGTATCAATAGTAGTAGTAGCAGTGCAAATATTTTCCCTTGTGGATCAATAATGTTTGTCTAAATCTAGTAGTAGTAGTAGTAGTAGTAGTAGTAGTAGTAGTAGTAGTAGTAGTAGTAGTAGTAGTAGTAGCAGTAGTAGCAGTAGTAGGAGCAGTAGCAGCAGCAGCAGTATTTCAAATAATTTATCTTGTGGATCAGTAAAGTTTGTCTAAGTCTAGTTGTAGTAGTAGTAGTAGTAGTAGTATCAATGGTAGTAATAGTAGTAGTAGGAGGAGTGATAGTAATAGTATCATTTTTGACACAAATCTAAACGACTTCCAGAAATTCTTACTATACTGTAATTATCTGTACATGGTCGGCTACTTTCTAATTTAGTCAACATTTTTCTTGACTATGTTGTAAATACACATAAAAATATATTCGTATTTAAGTTGGTGAGACCTATACCAACCTTCAGACTGAAACAGGGAGCATAGAAATAACAAAGACACTGCTAATAGCAATTGCATAACTCTATTTCTGGCCCTGTGGTGCTTTGATGTATATGGTTTTAGTACTTCAAAACTTTCCCATTGGGCGCTATTGTAATTAACTGAGATAGCTCCTTATCCAGCCGCTGCAGCCTCTAATCCTTTATGAGCAGCCAGCCCGGGAGACACAGTTATGCAATAGAAATAAGTCCATGACGAATATGCTTACAGAGATATTACAAAGGGAGTGAGGCTCGGGAGATACACGCTGTCAAAAATGGCCAGACAGAGGAGGGATTCTCAGTTGGAAAAGTTCCTGTTTAATTCTTACAGATTTGCAAACAAAGCAGAGCAGCAGGGAAGATGAGATTTAAACACTGAAAATTTAAGTTCAAATGCTTTGTCTCAAATGTTCCACAGCATGACGTTAAGCTTGTTTAATTCCATGGAGACAAGCAGGTGGTGCAAGCCAAAGGTCACATCTGTGGAGGGGCAAGCTCACTAACACTAAGAATGGACACCAGTAAATTAATGCATGCAAAATAGACTGGTTGGATACCATACCAACTTTATTTAGAAAGCACTTTAACAACTTTATAGTTTTTCAAAGTGCTGTACACAAACACAAGATAGACAAGGAAAATCACACTATCACACAACACAATACAAACACAATATAACTACTGAAAACATAGAAAACAATAAGATACTCAACAACAAGAAATGTGCATGTCACTTGTTAAAAGAAAGTGAAGAAAGGTGTGTTTTTAGGAGTGATTTAAAACAGTTACATATTAAGGGACATTCCAGGCAAAGCAATCAAACATCTGAAGCACGCAAAAAAGGTATTGGACATTCTACCAGGAAAGTTACACAGTGCACTTTTAAATGTCCCATATTACACAAAATGGATCCTGAGAGTTTTAAGTTGTGTTAGAACTCTGTTACCTCATCAAAAACATACTTGTGTTTTGTCACCCTGTGATGTCCAGGAGTGATAGTTTTAAAGTTAACAGCTACAATTTACTTTTGTTCAGTACAGACTGGCAATTCTAGGGCTGAAATCATGCCAATTATTCTAGTGTATGGTGAACTTTTGGAGTTTAAAAACACAGTAGAGGATAAATATGATTTCTGTGGCTCTATATAGAGTAAATAAAACAGACTTCTTTTCAATCTTGTACTTTTTCTGAACAAAGTAACCTGGGGCCCTGTCTCATATTAAATGCATTATATTGTATTGATTGTGGGGCCCCCAAGGAGGTGGTCCTGGCCCAACTTTGAGTCTCGTCCCTATGGTTAAGAATCTCTAGGCTAAATATTCATTGTTTGTGTGTTAAACGTGTGAATGAAACAAAACACAACTCCAGATATGTTTTTGATGAGGAAACAACATTATAACATACATCAGGAAATAGTGTAAGAAGAAAATGTCTGCTTTTTTGTGAACATTGTGTTTTTGAAAATAAAAATATAACATTTAGCCCAGTGATTCTTAACCATAGGGCCGAGACTCAAAGTAGAGCCGGGACCACCTCCTTGGGGGCCCCACAATCAGCACAATATAATGCATTTAATATGAGACAGGGCCCCAGGTTACTTTGTTCAGAAAAAGTCCAAGTTTGAAAAGAAGCCCTGACTTAGCCTATTTTATTTAATCTATGTAGAGCCATAGAAATCATATTATCCTGCTTTTTTGACCTATAGTTTTGAGTCTATAAAGACTATCTTTTTAACTGAACTACACTTAACAGGCAATGTGCTGCTAAACATGGTGCACAGTGACACACATAAAGTATATTTTTGGTCCTCTCTCTTCTCACTCCTCCAATTTGGGGCATATCTTAAAATAGGGAACAGAGGAGATAAGGGTGTTGAATTATTAAGGTCTGCTTCAACAAAACCTGTTTAAATTCATGAGCTAAACTTAATCCAAACAGCTGATGCATATTGGTGGCTGTGTACTGTGGAGTGGGGGAGAGAATGGGGTTGCATGGGAATTGCCTTTTGGATTTGTGAATAAGACACACGTGGGCCAGAGGGTGCTGGAATCTGATTGGTTGAAATCTGCTGCAGTCTCAGTCTCTTTACCTAGGATC